TTGAAGAATTAGAGTTATCTAATGGAATAGATGAAGATATTTTTGGCCAAAAACAGGTAAATTATAGATTTTTATGACATTTAATTTCTTACAAAATGATATGAGCGAGATGTTAAAAGTCAAAATTTTCCTCCAAATAAAATCCTCTAATCGTTAAGATATGAATATGTGTTTCAAAGATTGGTTTTACTCCTTATGGCAATTGTTGCGTGTTTGTAGATGTCTTTGCTTTTATTTCTTGAGAAAATATTAGTTTGTTTGATGTCGAGAGTGAATGACCAAATTTGATTTTTATGAGTTACTTGATAAGTTATCTTATCTATGTATTTTTATAATTTTCTTTTTTCATATATGTTTTTTTAAGAGTATTTGCATTGCATACCCTAAGACTACAAAATAATTAAGTCAAAGGATATGTGGCAAAATTGTAAATAAGACATCTTCTAAAAACATGGCCAAAAGACGAAACAACCCTAAAACCACATCATCAATTTTCACTTTCTCTCTCCCTTTCTCTATCTCTCCGCCCACAAAATCCCACCGCCATTTGCCGCCTCTCCGTCACCGGCAATATCTCTCCCCAATTCATGATCAATATGGGCTTGGTTCGTAACTGCAACGGTACCGGCGACAAGAACTATGGCTGCATTGATTCTACGACTCATCAACGGATCGGTATCTCTATCTTCTCCTTCTTCTTCATCTTTTTTTGTTCTTCTTATGGTTTGAAATTGTCACTCTTCACATCGATTGCTTTTCTGTCTTTAATGATCGATTTAACGATCAAATTCCTTCTCTCTGTAATCAATCGTTTCTGATTCTTAAAAGGGTTGATTGTGGGTAATTGACATGTAGTTTTAATTGGTGAAAAAAGCTTCCCGACGAGAGAAATTGAGAAACTGAGAATCTCAAGGTGTTAGAATTTTTTGGGATTTTTGAGAGAGATGTGAGATGGTGAAGATGAGGGCATTTTCGTCCAAAATGTTATGCTGTACCACTTTCTCTCTTGTTTTGCAAAAAAAAAAACTTGTGTATGCCACACCTAATTATTTCTCAAATAATTAGCATGCAGCTAATCAGGCCTGGCCCAGAGGCCAAGCAACCCAAGCAATGGATTCGGGTCTCAAATTTTGAGGGCCTCTTTTAGTAAAAAAAATCTGTTAAGCTTACTTATATGTTTAGGGCTTTTAAAAAAATTGTGGCCTTTTATATAAGTCTAAAACCTAAAAAAGCTAGAATAAAGAAAATCAAACGACGTTACAGTTTCCGGTCTCTTCAACAAGACACATCTTCTTCACGTATGTGAGTCAATTTGTTTTTTTACAAGTTCAAATCATAGTTTTGGAGGTTAATTGTTAGGTTTGCTTTTCAATTTGTTGTTGTTTTCCTTTTGTTTTTATCAAATTAGTAAAAAAAATGTTGCAAATTCGATGATTAGTTAATTCCAAATTTTAAATCGATCGATCGTTAGCTACTTAGCTTTGTTAAACTATGAGACCAAAATTCCAACGTGTTTGCTTTGATTTGTGTTAATCAATTGTCGAAGCATAAAATTTCATATAATCCAATGTTAATATTTTATAACCACGAACACAAAACACTTGCTGTAATATTTTTTGCTTTGGCTTGCTGTTAAAATAGTGTCAAAGCAACGATTTGTTGTGGTTCTTTTAAACTGTTTTCTGTAGTATATGAAAAGACATGTTTTTAAGTTTTTGCGTAGGGCACTCATAAATGCCGGACCGGCACTGCAGCTAATTGACTCTTTTTTTAATTGTGGGAGTTCTACCCCATAATCTTCCTCGATGCCTTGAGCCAACCGTTGATAATACCATTTTTAGAGACGTAAATCATTCCCTCCAAGTGGGGTTGAACTAGTGACCTTGAATTATTACTCTCAAATTTTCAAAGCCATTTAACCACCTTCCACTTGGTAAATAGTATTTTTATAGTCATGAAAACAACTCCAATCTAGTTATTGAATTTCTACTTCTTTTTTTTTTTCTGTATCCTAGTTGGAGCTTTGGAGGCCGAGCTAGCCATGGGCCCAAGCGAGCCAAGCAGACCAAGCATTGTGGTCTTTTTAAAAATTATCTATTTTTGACCGTAAAGTTACCAAAACGTCTGTTCAGTGTAAGTTGTTATGATTTGTAGAAAGGAAGATGACTAAAGTGGTTCGAATACCATGTTAAACAAATTTTTCTATTATCTTGTAAACACACTATTAGTGCCCATATATTTTTTTGGGCTTGTGGCTTTCATTTGTTAGGGCCGGCTTCGTTGGAGGTACACAATTGCTCATTTGGCATGTATAAACCTAAAACATTTATGTCATCAAGTGTATAAATGGTTTCATGTACTTGCATAATGAAAGAAATGTTACAGAAGCAAGTTTAATGATTGCTATAGCAATTTTTGATTTACTTCATAAGCTTATGTTTTTTTGAAGTTTTGAAACTATTGTGTTTCATTATTGATGTTTAGTTTCAAAATGTCCATTTATAAGACAGACCAGATAGCTCGTTGGGTCTCGACCATTGCATTCACGTCATAAGTATAGTGTTAAGTTCTATGGACTTCCAACTCAAAACCAATTGGCAATGAGTGGAGTGGCCCATATCCCTTATATATTACTTAGGATCCCTTCCAACTTCCGATGTGGGACATTATGTCCTAATACGCCCCCTCGAGATGATGGCTCTTTGGCCATTAATCTCGGAATGTTCGGGCTTAGATCGACGGCATCAATTTTGGGCCTTGTCGATGATTGGACCATCTTTGGGTCGGATCGGGTTGGACATGTGTGGATCGGGCTCTGATACCATGTTAAGTTCTATGGACTTCCAACTCAAAACCAATTGGCAATGAGTGGAGTGGCCCATATCCCTTATATATTACTTAGGATCCCTTCCAACTTCCGATGTGGGACATTATGTCCTAATACGCCCCCTCGAGATGATGGCTCTTTGGCCATTAATCTCGGAATGTTCGGGCTTAGATCGACGGCATCAATTTTGGGCCTTGTCGATGATTGGACCATCTTTGGGTCGGATCGGGTTGGACATGTGTGGATCGGGCTCTGATACCATGTTAAGTTCTATGGACTTCCAACTCAAAACCAATTGGCAATGAGTGGAGTGGCCCATATCCCTTATATATTACTTAGGATCCCTTCCAACTTCCGATGTGGGACATTATGTCCTAATATATAGTACATAGTGGCTAAAATGCTAATTTGAGCAGCAAAAATCTAGAGCACTGAAATTATTATGAAGGATATGGTGTAGAGTGTCGTCGGTCTAGTCATAAGAATTTTTTAATCCAAGAAATATGTAAAAAGCTCATCTCCAAACCGTGAAAGAGTATAGACAAGCGAAGAAAAATGAATTTCTTATTTGTTTGATTCTCCACATAGTGTACAAACAGTCAGTCATGTAATTGTTGAAATCACTCACAAACTCTCTAACTCTCTGTTTCACTCACGCTCTCTGCTTCGTTCTTGTTAAAACAGAACACGAGAATACATTTATCTCTTAAAAGACTACATTGATAATAAACTTGGATTCTTATTACAAGACACACACACTCTTTTTTTTTTTTTTTTTTTCACACTCTTACTTATACTACTTCTACTTGACACACTTACACATAAACATACTCTTAAACATGTACATAATTAACTCTACACTCTAGACTCTTGCATGTCATTCTTCTACATTGGAACTCTAACAACAACACGAGAAACTTAAACTTGAACCCTAAGCTAACCAAAACACAATTTCTCTTGTGTGGGCCTTAACCAAAGCAGCAGTCCATTATAACGAAACACAAAGCACAACTTCTCCTCTGTTGACTTTTCTCTTCTCGTTGACTCCTCTCTTCACGAGTCATCTCCGACTCGTCTTCTTCTTCTTTTCCATGCTCTTCTGTTGCTTTGCTTTTCATCTTCATCACAGTACTGATTCATTCTTCTTCTTCTTGCAGGTTTGATCAAAGACTCAAACTCCTACGATAATGCATGCAAATCGCGGAACGCTTTGGCTAAACCAAACGACACGATACAATTCTACCCGAGACATCTTTTTCTGATATGTTCGCATGTTTTGGGGAAGAGGAAATGAGGCGCAATCACAAACTGTGTGCCACCAGATCCCATAACAATTTATATCCTTATTGACAAAAACAACCAACCATAACTTGTTACGATCACACATCCTTTCACAACCGTGACATAAAGAAATTGTTATTAGTTTATAATTACTGAGAACTGAAGAAAAGCAATAGATGTATAATTATTAGAAATTAGAAAAAACAAGTACTAAGTTTTTTTAATAGGTGTGAAAATTCTTAAATGAATCTTCATGAGTCATATGGAGTTCTATTAGCTGGATGGTGTTTATATATATTATAGTTTTGTTTATCAATTATTAAAGTTGAATTTTTCTATACCTTTATGAAACTATTATTTTAACCCATAGTTATATAATTTAAAACATTCATATAACTTTGAGACTCAAACTTTTAGATAACTCTACATTCAAAATAAATAACTGGTTGTGGTTGTTTTAAAAGTTTAATTATTAAATAATGACAAAAGGGCTAAATGCCAACTTGCATCAAATTATCACATTAAAACATTTTAACAAATTATTATAAATAAAAAAAATTAAATAAATATGCGCATTCCTCATTACGGTGCACGATAGCATAGATCAGAGTCGAGAGAGCCACTATTAACAAATTAGCACCGTTTACTTTCACTCGAAAATATTTTACTTAAAAACCAAAAAAAAAAAAAAAAACCAAATTTTTATTTATCCTTCATTTTTCCGAAATTCTCGATCGCCGATTCGACGGTGTTTTCCGGCGATTCATTCTCGATGCGAGAATCGCCGATTACTTGAAAAGTAAAACTTTCACTGAAACCATAAACCCTAAAGTTTACTGTAGTTATTAGCTCTTCTTGATTCCAAATCTTGCTTAAAGATTCGTGCTTTTTCGCTACTTCGATTGGATCTGCTTAATCTCTGGAGGAAGAAGTTTCTGAGATCTATTTCGAAGCTTTGTTTGTAATTTTCCCCAATTTATCAGTAAGATCGCTAACTCTATTCTCTGTCTTCTTCTCATTTCGTGAATTTTTAGGTTTTAGAAAAATTAAGCTACTTTTTTACTTCACATATACTTAATTATCCAAATCTAGTTGATTAATTGTGTAATTCACTATGTTTTAGTGATATAAAGATGTAAAGTTTGTAACTTTGTTAAAAAAAACGGAACTTGGAGATTCTAGATCTCGAATTTAAGGATTGTTGTAGTAAGTTGGTAAGTTCGGTTTTGTTTGAGTAAAAGCTGGTCTGAAAATGTTGTATGTGTGGTTGGTTAGGTATTGGTTTTGATTAATGTTATTCTTGTGAATGTTGTTTTGCAGATAATGATGATCTTTTGGTTCTTGAATATGGAATGTGTTTCGGGTTTTAGCTTGCGAGAACGGTGTTAGTTTCCATTTGTAGAGCTGCTGCGTTGTTGTTATATATTGGGTTGAGTTTTTTTCTACATGGAAGCTTACAGAGAGGAAGCTCTCAGAGTGAAACAAATCGCTGAGAGGAGATTTGCGGAGAAAGATTTCACGAGCGCTAGGAGTTATGCGTTGAAAGCGAAGTCTTTGTTTCCTGATTTGGAAGGTGTGTCTCAGATGGTTGCTACGTTTGAAGTTTATTTAGCTTCTCAGACTAGAAGTGGTGGTCAGATTGATTATTACGCGGTACTTGGACTGAAACCGTCGGCTGGGAAAAGAGAAGTGAAGAAGCAGTACAAGAAGATGGCTGTATTGCTTCATCCTGATAAGAACAAATGCATTGGAGCTGATGGTGCATTTCATCTCATATCTGAAGCTTGGAGTTTCTTGTCTAATGAGTTTAATAAAAGCACTTTTTATTACAAAAGAAAGAAGCATATAGACTCCACGGTGGTTCAGAAGCACAGCACAGAGTACATGCCTGGGACAGGGACTGCGGTATTTGATCGGTTTCCACCATCTTCAGAAAGGCTTGATACTTTCTGGACTGTATGCACCTCTTGCAAAGTTCAGTATGAGTACTTGAGGAAGTATGTGAATAAGAGGCTTTCGTGTAAGAACTGTCGTGGAGCATTTATTGCTGTAGAAACTGGTCCAGCTCCTGTTAGTGCACCATTTCATTACACGCCTCCATCTCATGCGCCCCCATCTCATGCGCCTCCATCTCATGCGCCTCCGAGTAATGGCTATGGCGCACATAGTTATGATGCTATGTCACGCATGCCCACGAATTCCACGTATTTCTTAGGGCACTATCCTGGGCAAGGACATGGATATGATTATGGTACGAATGGTTCATATGAATGGAGCTCGTACGCTGGAACAACCTCCCCAGGGAATCTGGATTTGAAGCGTGTGTCCTCAGTGTCCAATGGGTATCCTTATAAGCACAGCAACTCAGTAGTCAGCGCGGGAATAAATAAAGTCAAAGACGGTTCTAATGGGACATGCTCGAAGAAAAGCACACATGGAGGTCTGATATATCCTAATCCGCCCAGCATGTCTGCTCACGCGACTGTTAAGGTCGGCAGACCTGGGAAGAAAAGCAAAGTTTTTATGGAAGCTGCTGCTAATGGATTTGTGGAGAACCCTCTGAAATCTGTTTCAGTATCAAAGACAACGAATGTGGATGCCAAAATGGAACAGGATTACAAACTTCATCTCCAAAGTTCAACTAGACGTTGGTCTGCTGCATCAGTAATGGATACACGGACACCTTTAATTCAAAAGGCCAGAACAGATATCAAGCAAAGATTGGAGATCATGAGATTGGCTTCAGAGGCAGCAGCGGCTGCAGAGGATGCGACACCACTTGATGAAAAAACTGTTATCTCCTGTAAGTTGGGAGATGTTACGGGACGCAAAACTAACGGGCCAATAACAGTTCCAGACTCTGATTTCCATGACTTTGATAAAAACAGATCTGAGGAATCCTTTGAGCCAAGGCAAATATGGGCAATTTATGATGAAGATGATGGTATGCCACGCCTATATTGTGTGGTTAGGGAAGTACTCTCGGTTCAACCCTTTAAGATCGACATTGCCTACTTAAGCTCCAAAACCGACATCGAGTTTGGGTCAATGAAATGGGTACAATACGGGTTTACAAAGTCGTGTGGACATTTTAGGATACGGAACTCTGACATAGTTGATCAAGTTAACATCTTTTCGCATCTTTTGAAAGGGAAGAAGACAGGGAGAGGTGGTTGTGTTCGAATCTTCCCCACAACTGGGGAGATTTGGGCTGTCTACAAGAACTGGTCACTGAACTGGGATGGATCAACACCGGACGAAGTGAGGCACCAATATGAAATGGTGGAGATTCTTGATGAGTATACTGAACAGTATGGTGTGTGTGTTGCCCCACTTGTTAAACTAGAGGGCTACAAAACCGTATATCACAGGAGCACGAGGGAGGAAAGTAAGAAGTGGATACCAAGGTGCGAGATGTTGCGGTTTTCGCATCAAGTGCCGTCTTGGTTTCTTAAAGATGCAACCAGCGGCTTTCCCGGAAACTGTTGGGACTTAGATCCAGCTGCGATCCCCGAGGAGCTGCTTCACATCGGAGCAGGAACCAATTGATTTCAGTGACCCTGTAAGAAAAAGAGGGTTTCAGATTAAGACCAAGTGTAAGAGTTGTTGTATCAGCGAAGATTATGGAGTTTTATGAAAGACTGTTAACACGCAAAACCATTGTGTTTGGTCACTGAAGCTGTTGTATTAGGCAATGTTCAACGAGGAAGCAAAGCATAGATTGACTTTTGTTTGCTCTGTTTTTTCTTTTCTTTCTTTTTTTCGATTCTGCATTCGTTTCTTTGTTGACCTTAGTGATGACAGAATTTTTACAAGTAGAGTTATAAATGTAGCAATTATCTTTCTACTTTTTACCGCTTTTTGTTTAGTTATGGAATTTGCAATTTAGTGAAACATACCACAGGTCGAAACCATTTTAAAACTTTGAACAAAGTATGGTAGTTCCTCAATGGAAATGAATGTATATATATCTTATGCGACATTTATGTAAAAGTTCGAAAAGGGAAAATGTATTTGCTGCGTGTGTTCGACGCTGAGCCACACAGTACTTACTGCTGGATCAGCAGCCCGGTCAATAGTAGCCAAGGGACCTGAGGATTCGAGAAGTAGTGAATAGAATGATAGCAGCATTTCAGATGATGAAAATCATAAGGATATGATGGAGTTACGAGTTCGGAACACGGAAACATCAGACAATGTAGAATCTCCGGTAGTAGCTCCAAAATCGTCACCTTAAATAGCTGTAAATGAATCCTCTGAGATTTGAACACTCTGGACTCTATAGTTGTGGCTGCGGACAGAGGCCCTCTCATGGGTGCAAATAAAACCTTGAGAACTAAGACTGAGAAGGAGACATCAGAAACCGCAAAAGAAAGCTTTGGGCGACCGAGGAAGAAATGTAGTGATTACAATTTGCGAGGTAACGGGTTCTTCATCCATAGTTTGATATTTTTTTTGTATTCAGTTGTTGGATTTGGTTTATATCATGAAGATGTTCTTTTGGATACAAGTTCTTAATGAATTAAAACAACACAACTACCATACTTAAGTCAGCAACATCCAACATTCTTAACATGATCTAAGTCCTAATACTTAACTATTTAACAATTTTTTTTTTGCTAAACAACTATTTAACAATTAAAAATGCTTAATTAAGTAGTCTAGTACCAAAGATTCTGTATAATCTGGTATTCCACGGGTCAGCTTTGTTAGTATAGTAGGAGAGGATGCAGCACTCTATCCATGGTGGATTTCTTGGAGCCACGAAGTTCGAGCTTTCCCTTATTCCGAGCAACCAATTCCGCTTCTTCCTCAATGTCTCTGTGTCCTGAAACCCTAAACCCCAAAAGTACTCCTGCCAGTAAATTAACTTTAGATTAGTGTATCAGAGACATCTCTGTTTATAGTTTAGATGCATATAGAACAAATGGGGTACTTACAGCATCTTTATCGCATAAGAAAGCTTCTAAAGTCGCTGTTGGATCCTCCAGAGTCAACAAAACTCGAAGGCGATTCTCATTTGAACAAAAATCATCTACTTGCCAAGGATATGCAGTTACAACCCGAACAATGCATCTGTACTTGCATGTAACCTGTAATAACAGCGTAGGCGAGCACAGAAAAGAATTATTTAAATCTTTTCAGGGAATACAGAAAATTAGACTCATAAATGGTACCTTGGGGAATGTTATGATGTCCATCAGTGTAACAAATGGGGCACAATTCTCATCTGTCTCTGCAAGACACCGAGAATGTTAAAGAAGTCTGTCTAATGATCAAGAAAGCAAAAAGAAGTGTTGAGATTAAATCCTGCTTCTTAAGGAGAAGTTTTCTTTTAAAAGAATGATAAAGAGTATTGCAACCTGTTAATCCAGGAGGTGACGGAAAACACCAGAACGGAATGTGTCCCAATTTTGATGATATTCTCTTATCATATAGCCTAGTTTTGGGAACATAAGATAAAAAAGAAAACAAAAGAGTAAGAGATTCTCGTGGTAAGCAGGATCGGAAGTAATTAGCGAAAGAAACCTCAAGAAGTACTAACCTCATGATCTTTTCAACTAAACGATCATCTTGAGCGAGATGACGAACCTTTGTAGAGTTGGTAACTTTGATTACCCAAGATCCCTTATCAACTTCACAGAGTAACTGGTAAAGTTCTACCCAATCACCAGGTTTAACCCGATGAAATAGATGACTGCTTAGAGAAACTCTCAAGATCGTTCCAACAGTTGGGAAGCTGAGCAATATATCTCTTGACAGTAAAGTATGAACTGAGAGACTGCTAAATGCCTTGTCTTCTTCACTTCTCCTGTCGATAGCCAACATTGTACACCAAATAGAAAAAGAGTAAGCGTGCAGTGCAGTGCTAATCGATAATCTGAGAATTTCAAAAAACTTTTCCTTGAAATACTCACTTTGCCAGAATAGATGCTGGGGGTGCATCAGTTCCATCCCAAACAAAAACGGCGCTCATATCTTCATCGGCATGGAGAATCTACATTACAAGAAACAGCAGAAAACAGGCTAGGATCAGTCATCAAAAGATAAAAAGTCTATAATTTAACCAAAAGGATAAGTAACCACCAAGTGCAATATTAAGAGAGTTACAAAGTCCCATGTTAGTTGAGAGTATATTACCCTGACCACCAAATCAAAGCGTTTTCCTATCTTGATCTCTCTCAAGAATGAAAAAGTTTCTACAGAGCAGGGTTCTGTCCTGTAAGATATACTCTGCAAAGCTAAAGAACCAAAAAAATAAAAATGACAAGCTTATGAGAATCATTCAAAGTTCTTCATTCAGTATCGATCTTAACCTATCTAAAGCCATTGAAGAGTTCTTGCGCATCATTACACTGCGGCAGACTCTAATATAATATGCAAAGTGGAAAGCAAAACAAGCTCACATTGTTACCTCTAACATCTTCGCTACGACTGGCAAAAAACTTGCGTAGATCAGCCATCGCACTCTTGTAAAGTGCTTCTTCTTCATGAAAATTCGAAGTACATTGGTAACAAACAAAATCCTCACCTTCGAACAACGCAAACGAAGAAACCCTTTTATTACAAGCAGCACTTACTCTTTTTCCACTATCAAAAGTTTGCATCTACAAAACAAAAAATCCAAACTTTACCTCTACAAAATCTAAGCACAAGGAAGAAAATGAAGAACAGAGTCTTTATACCTTGATGCGTGTAAACAGAATCATGTCGTCGTGGTTCTTGATTTGAGGAAGCTCTTCAAGAGTGTTACTAAATACATTCACAGTAAATCCAGGACTTGGATACGTATCATCAATTATCCTTAGAGTACAAATCCAATCTAAAATGTCAAAAAAGTTTCCAACTTTCAGATTGTCGAATCAATCCCACACAAAAGTAAAGACTTTTAGGGTTTTCGCAAAACAAACCCACTGAGATTCAATAATTGATAAGTGACAACAATAGATTATAGATTCAAGCAAAATTCTCTGTATTTGATTGACGAAGACACGAAAATTTGGTGGGGAAAAAAAAAAAAGAAGAAGAAATTTGTGGGTTTGGATTACCATTGGTGCGACATTGTTTTGGTTCCCTTTGTTCAAGAACGATACCAATGAGACTAACTTGTTGGTTGATGAGATTAATGGCGTCTTTAATTTTGATAAGCTTGGGACTGTCTCTCTTCTTCGCCATCTTCTTCCCCTGAAAAAACATCTCCCGCTGTTTTACAACGTTTTTAGTTATATACTGATGTTAAATAAATAGAGTGGTTCTATGGGAAAATGACAATTTAATTTCTTAACTTTTTCAATTTGGTTAGTTCCAGTAGTAAACGTACTATCATTGGTTCCAGTACCTTGTCTAGTGGACGTTCGGGAATTCGGATCGGTTCCAGTTCGGTTTTGGTTCTAGGATTTAGGATTGATTCGGATATTTTAAAATTTTAGTTCGGTTTTGATTCTTTCGGTTTGAAAATTAAGTATTCATTCGCTATTTTGTTTTTGGATTATTTGGTTATTTTCGGGTATTTTTGATAACTATATATATTTTCGCCTTTTCGGATCTTATTTATTATTCGGTCTAAAAAAACTAATATTTTTCGAAAGATAATTGTATTTAGGATATTTTTGGGTACCCAAAATACTTTGGTTCGGTATTGGTTTGGTTCCGGTTCTTTCGGTTTTAGAAATTTAGGATCCATTCGGATATTTTTAAATTTTGGTTCTGCTTTGGTTCGGTTCTTTTTTGCTTCGGTTCCAAATCGGTACTCTCGGTTCAATTAAGTTGCCCACGCCTAACTTTGTCTATTCTCCGATACAAGACAACTTTGATAACAGTCACAGAGACCATTGGCAAAAGAACCAAAATTTTAGAATCTTCTTATGTATTACAGTATTAGTATTAAAACAACACATTTGTGGCATTGATGTAATGGGTGGAGAAACAAAAGTGAAATAGTGATATACAAAGTTTCTTGAAAATACTAAGATTTTGTGTACAATAAAGAAAAATAATAACTTAGATAAACTTAGATATAATGCATTAATCTTCAGTTTTTTGGCATATGAATATTACACTTTCAAATATAACAAACAAAAGTTTGAAAATGTAATCGAACGTCTTTGAAGATGTATAGAATAGAAGAAAGCAGCCTTATGAGTGTCAAGAACTTGGTATATGGAGATTAGAAGTAAGATTAATAAAAAGGTTGGGTTCGAGGAACTGGTGTGCACTTAAGCGGATAAAACCATGCTTAGGTTCATTCCTTCATAAGTCTCTTCCATGTTAACTTTATCTCCTTTGATTTTCGAGTCAAAGCACTGCACCATCACTCCAATTGCGGTTCCTACAAATATAGAAGCTAGATTACCACCAGGACATCCTCTCCTTCCGCTGCCAAAAGGAAGGTACTTAAACGCTTGCTCTTTCTCGTCGTCTTTCCCACTTGATGAACTTAGAAACCTCTCTGGCTTAAACTCGTTAGGATCTTCCCAAGAATCAGGATCTCTCATCACAGCATAAGCATTAATAACGAGTGTTGTCTTCTCCGGTATGTAAAACCCTTTGATCTCGCATCTTTCCTGGAATGTCCTTACCAAGAGAGGGCCCGGTGGATGCAATCTTAGTCCTTCTTTGACTACCGCTTGCAAGTAAGGGAGGTTTGGTAGATCCGTTTCTTGGATAAACCTTGTTTTCCCTACAACGGAATCAATTTCTTCTCTTACTCTCTCAAGAACGTTACGGTTGTTCATGATCTCCGCCATTGTCCATTGTGTTGTTTGCACCGAGCTATCAGTGCCTCCAACGAAAAGCTCCTGCAGTGAAAAGACACAAAACATTTATAAGTTTCATATGGATAATGGATCCTCAAATGATAGCGACATAACGAGGAACATTTACCATGAAAAACTACTTGATATGATTCCTAGTGATCTTATACTCTGCGTTTTCGTCTCCATAAGCTGCCAACAACACATCCATCATATCCGTACCTTGATGCTCCTCATGTAGTTTCTCTTTGTGTTCCACAAGAATTCTCTCTAGCAGCTCATCGAATCTGTCCGAAACACCCATTATTTCCCTCTCGAATAGTGAGATCCCAAACTTCTTGAGCGGCTTGCGCAATAAAGCTGCGAGGAACAATCTTCTTGGTCAATGCATAAGATTCATCCACCAATCCCCTGACTTTCTCTGCCTCACCGTTCTCCTCTGAAAAACTTCTTCCCATACTCATCCTGCACAAGGTGTTGTTCACAAGCTTCAATGCTTCCTTACTGATCTCAACGCTCTCGGCCATTCTCGCCTTATCGAGAAGCCTGTTGTAAAACCGCATTAGCTCTTCATTACGGATACCTCGTGACCTCTCGAGTCTCGAGCGACTGTGGTCGAAGCAGCTTAGTGGCGATGATCTTCTTCATGAACTTCCAGTAATCTCCATAAGGAGCGTTGACGATGCCAGAAGATCCAAACAGAAGGGACTCATCGATTGCAGCAACACCGCGAGAGGAGACGTTCACGTCATGGAGCTTAAAGATCTCGTAGGCCACTGAGGCTGAAGAGACGAGAATGATTGGGACACTAAAGATCCGTAGATGGAGGAGAGGTCCATACTTGGAGGAGAGTTTTTGAAGAGACTTGTGGGTTAGAGTAGATAGGAGAAGATGAAGATGACCAATGATTGGAAGAGAAGGAGGGCTTGGAGGAAGATCACAGCCTCGCGAGTCCTTTGGTTTCTTGAAGAAGATAGAGTAACACAAGAGTGAGAAGAGGCATAGGAGGATGAATATGAAATAGTTCTGAAAGTCAACGCTGATAATTGCTGCCATTGTTGCTCAATGCATGTGAATGAGAGCTGAAATATAATCAAGAATTAGTTAAATATATTTAGTAATGTATCAAGACCAAACTGATTTTGGATACGAATCATCAATTATCCGTAGCGTACAAATCCAATCTAAAATGTCAAAAAAATTCCAACTTTCAGATTTTTGATTCAAAAATCAAGTTTTTAAATTAATCAATGTTAGGTATTCACAAAAAAAACCCATTTAGATTCTATATTTGATGAGTAACAGATTTCAAGCAAAATTTGGGGAAAAAAAGAGAGAGAAAATTTGGGTTTTGGATTACCATTATTGCGACATCGTTTTGGTTCTCTTTGTTCAAGAACGATAACAATGAGACTAACTTGGTGGTTGATGAGAGTTATTAGTAATGGGCCTAACTCAACACCCAAAAGCTAGCTCAAGGGAGGAGGTTTACCTCATACTATATATATTGCCCAAAGATTTTATTTCTTTCCGATGTGGGACTCTAACACACCCCCCTCACGCTCAGGACTGGACATCTGAAGCGTAAAGTTTGTGGGACTGGACATCCACGGATGGTAGCCCACTTTCGAGAAAGTTGAACCTTTGCTCTGATACCATATTAGTAATGGGCCTAACTCAACACCCAAAAGCTAGCTTAAGGGAGGAGGTTTGCCTCATACTATATATATTGCCCAAGAATTTTATTTCTTTCCGATGTGGGACTCTAACAAGAGTAATGGCCTCTTCTTCGCCATCTTCTTTCCCCCAAAAAACACATCTCCTGCTTAATTATATACTGATGTCACAAAATTAAGAGAGTGGTTTTTTTTTTGTCATCTGGATTTATTATTTATTGCAAATTATGAGAACTGTTACAAAGACGATTCTACAATGGACAATTCCTTCCGACCCTTATTAGATCCACGACCTCCTTTACCTCGTTCTTCATGCTCACCTCTTTCACCTCCTTCTTCATGGTTTTGATGGACACTTCCTTCTCTGTGTAGAATCCTGGCGAACGGCTATAATTGTACATCGCTGGAGATCTCCTGCACACTTGCCTCCAATAATCTGCAAATTTATTAATAAATCGCAGTATCTGGGACTCGAACCCCAGACCTCTGGGTGTAGAAGCATTAATGAACCCTTGGTCAACCAATGGGCCAAGGGAGCTTCCACAATTAAGAGAGTGGTTATATGGTGAAAATGACAATTTATTTAATTTCTTTAACTTTTCCAATTTTGTAAGTTCCAGTACTAAACTTTTGCTATCATTAGTTCCAGTACCTTGGATATCCGAACATGATTGGTTTGGTTCTTTTGGGTTTTGGCCCTTCTGGGTACATTAGGATAGAGGCGTCTAGACCCATTCGGGTATTTCAAAAATTCGGTTTGGTTTTAGTTTGGATATTTTAGTTAAGAACCGAAAATACTCAAAATGTTTTCGGATTCCGATTTTTTACCCAAATCTATCCAAAATATCGGATTATCCGAAAATACATTAGTTGTTTTTTTCCCTAATATAACCAAATGTACCCGAAAATATCAAAATTACCCTAAAAAAACTAAAACATTTACTTTTTATTCAAATATACTTAAGTGTATCCAAATTACTCAAAAATTGTTGTTTAAAGAATATAGTTGTGGAAGCCGAAACTTGCACAATCGAAATTTGTCTAGCATTTTTTTTAGAGATACAATATGCGAGAATCTCAAAGAACAACAGAAAAACTTAGTAACCAAAGATGGTGTTCTTGATATTATTGATGAAAAGATTAGGTTTCGATCGTACAAAGAATTAGATCTCGAAAAGAAAAGTGTTTGTTTTTGCGGTGATTGCCTTCGAATTCAGAGCTCTTGCGTTGTCTGAAGTCGAGAGCGTTTTCGGAAGATTTGCGAAGTCCTTGACTCGCATTATATAGAGATGGTAAACCGCCTCTCCAGCGATATATTCAGAAGATTTCCATTTTTCTTGGAGTCGGCTTAGAATATCTCGGATAAGGATATTTTCCTTATTTTTTGGGGATGTATAGGAAATTTTCTGATTTGACTTGATCCTTCAAGATTCTTCCTTATCATTTCCGAGTATCCCGGAAATGATCCATCTTCTCTTCTCTTATCTTGATTTCTTTCTTGATTTTTCTTTTTCCGTCTTATATCTGTCGAAGCGCCGCCGTGATTGGGTCGTAGTTTGATTTCTCCGATCTGCAATTTTTGTTTTTCCGACCGATTTTCAACTTCATCGAACAATTCTCCCCGAGGCGAAAATGTTATCTGATTCAAGCGATTCGTCCCGACGCAACGATCTTCCACCAGTCTACAAAAGGAGGATGGTCTGGAGTAGTTCTTCGAACGACCCCGAGGCGAGTACTTCGGGTCAGAACGAGGTATCACGTCGGGACAG